ACCAGCAGGTGTTGCAGCAAAGAATGTACTAATCACAGGCCTGCCGAGCAAGGAGAACAGGGAGAAAGTTCTCAAACCTGTCTCCCCCAGAATATGGAGGCTGGGGTTTTGTAAAAGTACTTTTTAAAAAGTACTTTCCCAGCAGGGTTCTGGGAAACTGGAACAAATGATTGGCTGAACAATTGGGAAGAAATCACAGGAGCATCTCAAACTGTCTTTGTGCAGCTGAGTTAGTTCCTTGGCAGGGATGTGAGGGGGTAGTCTTAGAACTAGATAGTGTGTCTTGATCTACTTAAATGTTAAATATAAAAAATATCTCAAAGACCATATCTTTAGGTTTCACAATAGTGATGTTATCTATAGGAGTAGTTGGGAAAGTTACACATTTTGCAACCCTCAGTTACATGACTCTGGGGCAATAGACAACCTATAGAAACACAGATTAAGCAATGGCAGGTTATGGTTTAATGCCTACTCATTAGCAAAGTCCAAACCCCTGTCATAATTTTAACCCTGCCTTATGAATATGGCTTTAATCTTCAGACAAGGAGGGTGCCAGTTTCCTTTGCCTCCAAGTTTAATGATAAACCAAATCCTTCTCATAGTTATATTGGCCTCTGCATTACAATAAGCAAGAAAAATATTTAGTCTGTGAATTTAGAAGCAAGATGGAATCAGTCATGCTAGATATCTCTCATTACTTATAATTCTGCAAAGGCATTTCAAAAACACTGGAAGGATCTTGAGACTGACATGCCCATCATCATCTATCTCATTTAACACTGTTCTGGCAGTATCAGCCATTGTAATTAAACAAGAGAAAGAAACTGGAGGGGTCAATCTGGAAATGAGAGGTTGATCATCACCATTCATAATTAATATGTTTACATAGCTGAAAAACACTAAAGAATACACTTCAAGATAACTATAAACAACACGAGAATTAAGTGAAAGAGAAGAGGACCTAAAATCAACAGCAAAGAGCAGCAGCTTTTCTATATATGAATGACAACCAGTTTGGGGACAAAATGGGAAAAAAATGGAAAAAATATCCGTTTTACAATACAATAGTACAAAAAATAAAATATCATACAAGAAACATGTAAATTCTATATGAAGAAATGCTCAGGCTGGGCGCAGTGGTTCATGCCTGTAATCCCAACACTTTGGGAGGCTGAGGCTGTAGGGTCACTTGAGGCCAGGAGTTCAAGACCAGCCTGGTCAATAAGTAAGACTCCTGTCTCTATTAAAACAGAAAAGAAAAGAAAAAACAGAAATGTTTAAAATACTTTTAAAGAAAGATGCACGGAAAAATGGACAGGAACAGGGCAGTTCATGCAGGGGGAGACTCTTAAATATAAAGGCTCTACATAAATTAATTTATATGTTAAACATTTGTAAACGAAAAATAAAATTCTAAGCCCTCCAGCCTACTGAATGGACCCCTCCTTCTGGCCAAGGGCATTCCCAAGTTAACCTGAAAAATGAGTTCAGGCCATAAAGGGAAGGGAGGGTCAGACATTCAGACATGCCCCACAATACCCTCCCTCCCTTTGGAATTCAGGCACAACTGACCAGCATTAACATTTAAACAGAGGCCTTAAGAATGACAAAACAGACTTTCTGTAGCAATAAGATACCAACATGACAGATAGCAGACCATGAAAGAAATCAAAGTATTATTATTATTATTATTATTATTATTATTATTATTTTGAGACAGTCTTGCTCTATTGCCCAGGCTGGAGTGCAGTGGCGTGATCTGGGGTCACTGCAAGCTCCACTCCTGGGTTCACACCATTCTCCTGCCTCAGCCTCCCGAGTAGCTGGGACTACAGGTGCCCACCACCACGCTCAGCTAATTTTTTTGTCTTTTTTAGTAGAGTTTCACTGTGTTAGCCAGGATGGTCTCGATCTCCTGACCTCGTGATCCGCCTACCTCGGCCTCCCAAAGTGCTGGGATTACAGGCGTGAGCCACCGTGCCTGGCCGAAATCAAATTATTTTAACCCAAAATATATTTGACACTTTGAAATCATCCTATGAAGAGAGGAGGACCCCAAATCAACAGCAAAGAGCAGCAGCTTTTCTATATACCAATGACAACCAGTTTGGGGACAAAATGGGAAAAAATATTACTTTTATAATACAATAGTGCAAAAAATAAAATATCATACAAGAAACATGTAAATTCCATATAAAGAAATGTTTAGGCCCGGCACAGTGGTTCATGCCTATAATCCCAACACTTTGGGAAGCTGAGGCTGTAGGATCACTTGAGGCCAGGAGTTCAGGGAAAATCTATGTTCTGCAGAGAATTCCCTTACCTTTCCAGATCTTTTCCTGATCCAGGACAGAATTAACTCAATCTGGCACCCTGTAAAGGCTGATAAGAAACACTTACAATCTATTCTTACTGAAGGCTGCTACCTGGAGGCTTTGTCTGCATGATAAAAACTTTGGTCTTCACCACCCCTTATTTTCACCCAGACACTCCTTTCTATTGATTCCAGGTCTTTAGATAATAACTTAACTCTTTCAACCAATTGCCAATCAGAAAATCTTTGTATCCACCTATGACCTGGAAGCCTCCTCCCACCCCCATCTTTGAGCCATCCCACCTTTCCGGACAGAACCAATGTATATCTTAAATGTATTGATTAATGTCTTACATCTCCCTAAAATGTATAAAACTAAGCTGTAGCTTGACCACCTTGGCCACAAGTTCTTAGGACCTCTTGAGACTGTGCCTCAGGCCATGGTCACTCATATTTGGCTCAGAACAAATCTATTCAAAAATTTTACTTAGTTTCATTCTTTATCAACACATGATTTAAATAAAAATACCAATAAGATATTTTTATACTAGTCAGTATGAGTCTAAAGTTCATGTGGAAAAATAAACAAGCAAAAATGGCAAGAATAATGCTAGAGAAGATGAGTGACAAGGGAAGCCACCAGCAAATTGCCTGAGGGCAGAGATGAACCCAGCGTTGGTACAGGCAGCACACCCCATCAGTGTGGCAACTGAATTCCAGCAAATGACGCTGAGCCGAATGGGTGGCCGTGCTAGAGAAGATGAGTGACAAGGGATGCCAGCAAACCACCTGAGGGCAGAGAGGAAGCCAGCGTAGGTAGAGGGAGCATGCCCCATCAGTGTGGCAACCGAATCTTCCAGCAAATGACGCTGAGTCAAATGGGTGGCCATTCAGGAAACAGTCAAATGGAATCTACAATGCAGGCTTTATGCCAGGATATGTATTCAAATGCATTCAGTATTTAAATGAGAAGACAGAATAATAAAAACTCTAGGAGAAACCATGAGAGAATTGTTCCATAAACTTAGAATAAGGAAAGAATTTCTAACTACGACATAAAACTCAGAAACCATAAAATAAAGGGTTGATAAAGTATACTTAATAAAAGTTAAAAATTCTTACATGAAAAGAAAAAAAACTATAAGTAAAACCAAAACACAAATGACAAATTGAAAAATAAAAATTTGCAATGTATACTAAACAGACAAATTTTCTTAATAACTAAAAGAGCTCATGGAAACCCCATATTAGATGGAACTGTGAAAGTGCTCTATTTGGTTGAATATGGTCATATACTGGCAGCTGACAAGGATGAACCTAATAAAATGCAAATTTTAATACTTCAGAAAGATACTGTTTTTACCTATTATATTGATATCTACATTGTTCACAGGAATGTAAACCGGACAAGAGTCCTAATCAAAAGCAATTTAGCAATAACTATCAATTACAGATGCACATAGCATTTGAAGCAATAATCTTGCCTTTCCATTAAATGACATACAAATGTAATTATTCACTGCAATGTTGTTTGCAATATTGAAAGATCAGAAACAATTTCAATGTCCACCCGTAAAAAGAAATAGCTGAGTAGATTTGGTCCATTAAATTAATGGACTACTCAGCAACTACACCAAAAACCAGGGAAGCCCTTTCTGTGTAGACAGGGGAGCCTGTCTAGATACGGATATGCATTTAAGTGAGCAAGGAGTGGGACATGTGCATGGTATACTTCCATTTGTGGAAAGGAGGGGAAACAACATTTATACTTGCTTATACACATAAAAGAAATAAGAAGTAGAAGGCAGTAGTTGACTGTGGGTCAATAGAAAAGGACTTTTTATTATATATCTTTCTAGAATGTGGGAGTTTACACCATGAGAACGTACATGTTCAAAAAGTAACTTTTAAAAAAAAGGGGGGCGTGAAGGTGCAGTAGCTCACACCAGCACTTTGGGAGGCCTACGCAGGGAGATCTCTTGAGGTCAGGAGTTTGAGAACACCTAGGCCAACAGAGTGAAACCCCATCTCTACTAAAAATACAAAAAATTAGCTGGGCGTGGAGGTGCACACCTGTAATCCCAGCTACTTGGGAGGCTGAGGTGGGAGGATCCCTTGAACCCAGGAGGTGGAGATTGCAGTGAGCTGAGATTGGGCCACTGCACTCCAGCCTGGGCAACAGAACAAGACTTTGTCTCAGAAAAAAAAAAAAAAAAGGAAGAAATAATGAAAGAAAAAAAAAAAAGAAAAAATTAAATCTGATCCATAAGTGGTAAAATATCAGAACTCTCCACTCACCCTCCACCCCCAATCATCATCTCTAGGGGTTTAGTAGTTGTCTGAATAGAATGGGTCCAACACTGGAATGTAAAGAATTTTTTTCTTACTTTGGTTGAGACTACAAAATGTTGGAAATTTTAGTGCAAAAGAATTCATATACAACACTGTGTGTGTGTATATGTGTGTTCATGTACTTGAAGGACAATTTGAGTAATTTTTCAATAGTTATTATTTTTAGAATTCTGCTTCTGTGTAGGATGAAGCGCCAGTACATTAGCTTTGGGACCTCAGGACAAATCCCTCAGCCTCACCACCCCTACCTCACAAGGCAGGTGGAAAGATTAAATGCGATGAAGTATGTAGAGTTGGTCACAGTGCAAAACACATTGCACAAACCCACCTACATCCGCAGTGCACCACTGAACTACTATTCTTAGAGCCAGGAAGCTTGGCTGAGTCCAGAGAAATGGAATGTGGTTTCTTTCTATTCCCAACACTGCCTCTTGGGTCTCCTAGCTCAGGATCTCCTTCCCAGGCTCCTGAAAAGGACACTGTGCACCTTACCTTTTGAGTACTGGTGGTAGGCAGTCACCGCCACTGCCTCAGACATGTTGTGTAGCCTCATTTCAACCCCAGAGCTGTCCCCCAAATCCGTCATCAGACAGACAGCCGCTCCAGAAGCCATATGAACACGGAATCCCAGATTTGGAGGTGCCCGAGCTTCCATTTCCAGGGAGCAATCGAGAACAGAGTTCATGGAGTTATCAGAATTTTGAGCTAGGATGGCCACAGGAGGATGCTGAGTAGGAGGATAGAGGATCTCAGAACCAGACTGCAATGCCATGAAGCTGGGGGTGCGAGGAGTGCCGGGTGGAAGGCTGTGGGAGCTGTGGGAGAAAGGGAGAGGCTTCAAATTTCATGACAGTGGACCACACCGCCAGGTGGGTTGGGAAGGCAGAAGCCAAGCAGCCTGGGCTGGGTCCAACTAGCTAGAAGCCAAGTCTGAGAAACCTGATGAAAGGCTTCACTTCCACTGGTTCTCAGAACAGGGTCCCAGGGCCATCAGCATCAGCATCACCTGAGCACTTGTGAGACATGCGAATTCTTCACCCACCCCAGACCCACTGGGTCAGAAACTGGGGTGGGGCCAGCAAGCCCCCAGTTGAATCTGAGGTCAGCAAAAATTTTGGAGTCACTGCTCTAGCTACATTACTAATAGTAAAAGGTAGAGTTTCTCTCATCACTGATTTAATGGACATGAAAGATGGTATCTCCCACAAGTCACTACTTCCTGTGTTTTTGCGAAAAGCTCCCCGTGAGGGTGGGTGCCATTCTTTCTACATTTCTCCCTAGCTCCTTGTGCTGCAAATCGGTTGGGGAGTTGGGAATAGTCTAGGATACTCGTCTCAGCTTCCAATCACACAGGACTTTCGTGATCATCATATATGTGTTAAAAGCTGGTCTTGAGTAAAGCATACGGTATTGGTACCATTACGTGGCATAAACGCAAGATTAAAGAAAGCAGGAAAAGGAAGATCATGGAGGTAGAAATGGCTTAAGTATCTTAATGGCCAATTCTCATGCTCCCATGTTTTTTTTTTTCCCTCTCCCAGTGTGCTGTGCATGTCCTGTTAAAAATACACACAGGCGGGTGGATCACGGGGTCAGGAGATTGAGACCATCCTGGCTAACACGGTGAAACCCCATCTCTACTAAAAATCCAAAAAATTAGCAGGGCGTGGTGGTGGGCACCTGTAGTCCCAGCTACTTGGGAGGTTGACGCAAGAGAATGGCATAAACCGGGAAGGCAGAGCTTGCAGTGAGCTGAGATCGCACCACTGCACTCCAGCCTGGGTGACAGAGCAAGACTCTGTCTCAAAAAAAAAAAAAAAAAAAATACACACAGCCAGCCAGGCACAGTGGCTCATGCCTGTAATCTCAGCACTTTGGGAAGCCGAGGTGGGTGGATCACGAGGTCAAGAGATCAAGACCAGTCTGGCCAACATGGTGAAACCCCATCTCTACTAAAAATACAAAAAGTAGCCAGGTGTGATGGCATGCGCCTATAGTCCCAGCTACTCAGGAGGCTGAGGCAGGAGAATTACTTGAACCCGGGAGGCGGAGGTTGCAGTGAGCTGAGATTGTGCCACTTCACTCCAGCTTGGGTGACAGAGCGAGACTCTGTCAAAAACAAACAACAACAACAAAAAATATACACAGTCAGACAAAGCCTCAGTCTCAGTATGTGATTGATAGGAAACATAAAGGCAACCAAGTGACATGGGTCCCTGATGGCAAACAGTGGCCAATTACGTTTACACCATCATAACTTGAAAGTCACTGGACTTAACTGCAATGATAATTAAAGCAAACAACGAAGATACTAAAATCACCAACGATTAGGCATGGATGGCTCCAGACTGGGGATGGAGAAGTGATGCTGGCCTCCACACCTCCTTCACCTTACCTTCTGGGAGAAGTGGGAAAATGGGAAATCGACCACAGGGTTACTCACTGGGAGCTGGTCGTAGTGGGTCTGGCCACCTTGGTGGGGGTCTCCATCATGACAGTCCCAGGAAGCAGCCCCATGGCTGTGTCCTCTGCACAGCACAGCAGTCTCAGGACACAGCAGGAAGCCTCCATCTTCAGGCTGCAGGGAGCTGCTGCAGAAGAGGTGCCCTGGACCTTAAAAGTTTAAGAACAGCTCAGGATTTATTGAATGGCCTCGTCCGGCATCAGTAGTTGATGTCCTCCACGCTCAAAAAGCCAATTTAATAAAGAGCCCCACTGCTGCTGAGGTCTCTGCTATTTGGGTGGGTGACCACACGTTGGCCCCATGCATTGGCGCTATGTCATGAGTGGTATGATTCACACTTTCCAGCATACTAGCCAAGAAAGTGCCCAGCTGGCACCAGCTAGAACTATGAGACATGTTTGATCAGGAATTTCAGGGTTGCTTAGTATTGGAAGTTTGTGTTATCCCCTCAGCTAAGCCAATAGAAAATTAGTAACTTCATAAGGTCATCTATAACTCTATAAGGTTGTCAGCTGAGAGATGGCGCTCTTACAGACAGCAAAAATGTAAAGTCTATTTTCCCTTACTGTGGTGACAAATTTTAGTGATGCCTTCAAACTGCCTGAGCAGTGTCCAAATGACCTAGAAAGGCAAAATACGCTTCACTGACAAACTCTGAGGCCGCCTCCGTACGGATGAGTCTCCCAGATGCTCACCAGCAGCTTTCTGATGAAATTCAATGGCAGGGGTTAGATACCAACCTGGAGAAGGCCAGAGAATGTGCTGTCCGTGGTCCCAGTGGCACACAGCCGCCTGTGATGGAACCTGCGGACACCACTGCTCCAGACCCTTGCGATTATAATGGAAGGTTTGTGGGGAATTCTGTATGGGAAGGAAAGTGCAGAAAGAAAAGGAAACCCAGTCATGTTTCAGTCATGTATCTGGCTTATTTGATTACGAATCATGCCGTTCCCCAGGCTTTGCTGGAAATTCCCTTGCTGTGATCGCAGGCCCATTCCTGGAAGTCAGGCCCAGGCTGACCATGGGGATATGATGTGGTTAGAAGCCAAACCAGAGGGGCTGCTGCAGGCACTCGAGCGAGAAGTCTTAGGTAGAGTAGAGCTTATTAAACCATTGACTAAAATCCACGCCCACTTAGGACACTGCTTCAGACAGTTCACCCAAAGGGGCGAGTCACATACAAAATGTGCTCTGTCTGTCCCGTGGGGCCTGGACTCGGCTGGAACATACTGTGGTGCAGTGACTGAGGGGGCACCACGGGAGGCCTGGTGGCAACTACTTGCCTATGCAGTCAAAGCCTGGCAGGGAGGCAGGGCTTGGGAATGGGACTCAAGGACCGTGCCTCCGGCCAGCAGGGACAAGGGCCATTTAGCTGGTCATCTTTGTGTTCCCCTGTCATAGGACCCTGTTTTCAGCTGTTATCACCACCTCACCCTGCTGATGAGCCCCAGCGAGCCCTGCAGGAGGGAGTGAGGCACAGTGGTTCCTTTCTTAGCTACAGCTCCAGGCTCCTCCTCTGGCAAGACCAGCCTGACTCTCAGCCTCCCTTCCCCAACATGGCTCCAGTGAGGTGAGTGTCTCTGTCTCAGGCTGTGGCAAGGCCAGGCCAGCATTATAATCCTGCATGAGAAAAATCCACGATGAGTATTTCCGATGCCTGCAGCCGACTGGCTCTGGGCTTGCTCTGCTCTGCAGAAGAGTTAAGGCACGCTAGGGGACACAGGCTCTGGGTCAGAGGCTGTGGAGCTCAGTCCCCACCTACACAAGAGTCACTATTCTAGTGCCTCAGCTGAGGCTCAGTGTCTGTGTCTGTTAACAGACACTGAGCTCAGAGAATAGACCTGCCCTGGTGAAGAGTAAACTATTAGATGATAAGAAAGAAAAAAAGTTTTATCTGAGGAATGCAAGCCGCTTTACATGATCAGGCCCAGAGAGGCATTAAAATATGACAGCAGTTATGTCTCATTCCACTTGAGCTAAATAATGACCTCTTGAAGCCACTTGCTATGTGGGCTCTAAACTGACTGACGCCAAGTAGCCAAAAAATGCCATCCACCTTATAGTTCAACCATGTATAGCCAATCACTGACCAATGCTATTTCTGTAAACCAATGAGAATTCCTGAGGAACAACTTCTGTAATTGCCTCCTCCTCTCCTGAGTCGTCATTTTTTCTTTAAAACTTGAGCCTCTCATTTGTTCTCTAAAGCACTTCCCAGTGTTTCCCATGCTGCAGTGCTCAACCTTGGCCCAAATAAACTCCCCATTTATTAACTTTGCCTTGGTTTCTTCCTTTAGGTCAACAATGTGGACTGCACTTAACCTCAAATCCAACGCAACGTCCTGGCCCTGGGACGCTCACAGTGACCACCATGCCACTGCCTGGGCCGCCCCGTTTGTCCCCAACCCTCTCTTCACCATGATCAGCCTTTGTGTATGGAGTACCCATGACATAACTAACTCCACCTTAGAAAAAGGCTCCATTTCTTTTCACAGGGCACTCTGCCAACAAGGAGATGTTTGGTTTAATAAACAAATAAAAAAAATAAAGACTGCATCCAATTAGATAAGGACACGAGCACACTCTTCCACTATCGGTTCTCACCAGAGGGCCCTGTGACCATACAAGATTAGGCGTGAACAGCTCCAAATGGCCATCTTAACTGCCACTTTCTTGTAGTCACTTGTGATGACAGCTTGGCATCTGCCGCCAGAGGCTCTGCTACCTTCAAGATTTTCTTTTTTTCTTTTTTTTTTTTTTTCTGTCACCCAGGCTGGAGTGCAGTGGCGCAACCTTGGCTCACTGCAAGCTCCGCCTCCCGGGTTTACGCCATTCTCCTGCCTCAGCCTCCCGAGTAGTTGGGACTACAGGCGACCGCCACCTCGCCCGGCTAATTTTTTTTTTTTTTTTTTGTATTTTTTTAGTAGAGACAGGGTTTCACCGTGTTAGCCAGGATAGTCTCGATCTCCTGACCTCGTGATCCACCCGTCTCGGCCTCCCAAAGTGCTGGGATTACAGGCTTGAGCCACCGCGCCCGGCCAAGATTTTCTTGTAAGACTGATGAACCATTCGGCTCAGACTGGGACTCCTTTTGTCTTCTTGGCTCCCCCTGGACTGGTTCATTAACCCTTTCTCCTATCTCTTTTTCTTATTGATGCTAAGTGTTACTTTGTTTGCCGTGGAATGTTTAATCTATAACATTTATAGGTTAAGTATACTATTATGTATGGTTTGCAATACTGACTGACTGACAGAGTGGCATCAGCCTGTGTGCCCGCAGCTCTGATTGCCAAGTGAATGGGAAGTACTACGGAGAACTGCCTCCTCAAGAGCTCCATGTAGCTCATGGCTTTTGTGATTGAATCACAATCAATAAAAGCCTGACGTTGTGGAAAGACACAAACATGAGTGGACCTGGTTATCTGTAACCTTGCACTACTCATGACACTTCAGCTCTGGGGCTTGTGGTGCGGGGGCCTACACGCTGTCCACTCCGTCAGCTGAAGCCCACTTCCAGGCACTTCCAGCGGCATGTCAACCCGGCTCTTCTGTCCTCCGAGGGACATCTGAAGTCACTTCACCTGTTCCTAATGTGACATATTTTTAGTCCAGTCATCATCCGAGTCACTTGCTTTCTATTTTTCCCCTTTATATCCCTTTAGTTCTTAATGTAGTGATTCTCTTTAGGAAAACAACAACAACAACAAACCTGCATGTCTTAGTTGTGTCCTGGGAAAAAAGAAAAAAAGAAAAAGGCACTCGTGTCTATCCAGATTAAGGTCCATGCATGTCTGTGTCTTTCCACAATGTCAGGCTTTGATTGATTGTGATTCAGTCATAAAAGTAAAGGGCCTCAGAACAGGGACCGGCTTGGGGGTGGAGGGGATTGTGCTCAGGCCTCAGGAGACAGACACAAGAGTACCCCCACCAGGGTTCACTCTGCTCACAGCTAAGAAGGTCTTCTGTTGCTAGGAAGGAAGACCCTTTCCTTCTAAGCAAGCACACAGGCCAGAGGTTTGCTCACCCAAGCACTTCGAATTTGTAACCAGTGAGGGCCCAAGACAGACTGCAGCAGCTAAGCAGGAGGTGGGAGCTGGAGTCAATGAGCTGCCACACAGGGAGACCCCACCCCGCTCTTGTTTCCTGTGTGTATTCACAGGCCCTGCCTGCATTGCCAGGTTTCAACAGAGGACAGGAATGACATTCCCGTGGCGGCACACAGGGAGTGCTGATTCCACTTGAAGATTTCTCTCTCATTGAACAGTTACTTGCACCTTAGCTAAGTCTTGAAATAATTTCTCAAAAATGAGCTGTGAAATTCTTCATCCGTTGACCCAAGCATCGGAGAAAATCATTCTGTTCAAGCTGCAAAGAATGAGTTTCCTTATCTGGGGCTCCAGGGGATGCACCAGTCTACCCACTAGAATCCAAAAGAAGTAAGAATTTCACACAGAGATGCTCTACCCTGAAATGGATGCTACACAGGGCCTCAGTCATCATATTTCCGGGGGACAGACAGACAAATCTGGCCATAAAAGGTAGGCTTATTGTTAGCAAAATGGAGTCCAAAAAACAACAGTCCTGGGCCCACACATCCAAGTTTCTGGGTCACAAACTGTCGGGGGGATCCAATTCTCCCCAGTACTGCTGCCAGCAAAGACTCGGAGACTACTATGGTGGGGAACACAGTCAGGTGTGCAGCGTGGGCTGCCCTCACAGCTGGCTGTCAAGGATTCTTCTTTTCCTAAATTTCCACCTCGGGGCTGAATCAGGTGCATCCATGGTCACAGGTTGGACTTTGCTCGTGGTCTCCCAGGGCACGGTGCCAGCTTCACGCTCTACCCTGCCTCCTTTCCTGTCAGGTTTGAGGATCTTACAAATAAATAAAAGGAAGGCCGGGCGCGGTGGCTCAAGCCTGTAATCCCAGCACTTTGGGAGACCGAGACGGGCGGATCACGAGGTCAGGAGATCGAGACCATCCTGGCTAACACGGTGAAACCCCGTCTCTATTAAAAAATACAAAAAACTAGCCGGGTGAGGTGGCGGACGCCTGTAGTCCCAGCTACTCGGGAGGCTGAGACAGGAGAATGGCGTAAGCCCGGGAGGCGGAGCTTCCAGTGAGCGGAGATCCGGCCACTGCACTCCAGCCTGGGTGACAGAGCGAGACTCCATCTCAAAAAAAAATAATAATAAAATAAATAAATAAATAAAAGGAGCAATATTATAGCAGCAGATCAAGAATAAAGATCAGGTGGATTGGAGGTAGATCAGAAAGAACTGTGATCAGTTTAGCTGTTCTTGGCAACATTGATGGGCCATTACCAGTCACTGCCTTTGAACAATAACATGAAGGGAAAAGTCGCATCAGTGAAAACAGTGGAACTGAATAATAATGAGGAAAACAAACATCTACATTTACCCATGTTTTTCCTTTAAGAAAGAAAAGTTACATTTGTTCTTTGTATCATTCAATGTTTAATTTCCATTAGAAGGAGTAAAACCATCGATTTCAGGTACGGTGTGACACTAGAGAATCCAGAAGAAGGCCAACTATTTTTTTAAATTATGCCTACTTTGAATTTTGTATTGTCTGGTGCTATTGTGTTTTTTTAAACTGCGGCGAAAAAAAAAATAACAAAATTTACCATCTGAACTATTTGAAGGCACAGTTCAGTGGTGTTAAGTGTATGCACACGTACATGGTTGTGCAGTACATTTTTAGGACTTTCCTATCCTGCAAAACTGAAGCTCTGTACCCATTAAGCAACCCTCTGTTCCTCCCCACCACAGCCCCTGGCAACTACCCCACTCTCCTTTCAGTGTCTATGAATGTGACCACTCTAGGGACCTCGCATAAGTAGAATTATAAAGGATGTGTCTTTTTGTGACTGGTTATCTCACAAAGCATAATGTCTTCAAGGTTCATCGAATGCTGTTTTAAAGTCTGTATGTTATGCACCATAAAATAACCAATTACCATCATGTCGAGTGCTTGTACCCGGAAGGCTCACCATATTCCTTCCCAGAGTTCATAATGGAGACAATGACAATTCTTTTTTTTTTTTGAGACGGAGTCTTGCTCTGCCGCCCAGGCTGGAGTGCAGTGGCCGGATCTCAGCTCACTGCAAGCTCCGCCTCCCGGGTTCACGCCATTCTCCTGCCTCAGCCTCCCGAGTAGCTGGGACTACAGGCGCCCGCCACCGCGCCCAGCTAGTTTTTTGTATTTTTTAGTAGAGACGGGGTTTCACCGTGTTAGCCAGGATGGTCTCGATCTCCTGACCTCGTGATCCGCCCGTCTCGGGCCTCCCAAAGTGCTGGGATTACAGGCTTGAGCCACCGCGCCCGGCCGACAATTCTTTTTTTTTTTTTTTTTTTTTTTTTTGAGACGGAGTCTCACGCTGTTGCCCAGGCTGGAGTGCAGTGGCGCGATCTCGGCTCACTGCAAGCTCCGCCTCCTGGGTTCACGCCATTCTCCTGCCTCAGCCTCCTGAGTAGCTAGGACTACAGGCGCCCGCCACCGCGCCCGGCTAATTTTTTGTATTTTTAGTAGAGACGGGGTTTCACTGTGGTCTCGATCTCCTGACCTTGTGATCCGCCCGCCTCGGCCTCCCAAAGTGCTGGGATTACAGGCTTGAGCCACCGCGCCCGGCCCGGCCGACAATTCTTGTATGACATCACCTTGTAGGGCTCCCAGCATTCGGGGGTTTGTCATACTACCTGGTCTACTCCAGCAAATTAACTTCAGAACACCATTCTTTTTTCCACCAATTTAAGAGCTGCATTTGCTAACCCACCCTCGGGCCATGTAGGAACAAGCATCCACTTTCACATCTGAGCAATTCTTTGTAAGTCTCATATCATTTGCATGTTCAGAAAAGCAAGATTTCGCCATGGTACATTGACATACCTATCAGCACTGTGATCACAATCCAGAGGCGCCTGTGCTTTTTCATTAACAACAGCCTGTGTTTTTTCATTAACAACACTTAACGCTGCTTTACTAGTTGTTTTCCAAATGTTCTGTAAGAAAAAATAATAAAATAACGTGAGAGAGCTGCTTATGAAAACCCAGTACATTTGGGAAAGTAACATTACTTCGTTAACAGAATAGCAGTGGACCCCTGCTGTGGACCCCTGCTGTGCACCCGGCACTGTGCTGGGCACCAGAGAAGCAACGGCGAGGAAAGCAGACAGCTTCATCCTCCCAGGGCTCGCCTTCGGCCAGAGGAAGCCAAAAAGCAAACACGTAGCCATAACAGCATCTGCTGGGGGTCGTGCTGCAAGGGAATTCACAAACCTCCAGGTTGTCTAGTGTTAATTAATAGGTTCTTCAAAGAGCTCCTCACACTGTGCAAGATAAGCAGAGTTTCGGTGCTTTGGCTGCTGGAAGCCTTGTCTATGCTGGAGCCATCTGGGGGCAGCCCCTACTCCCCACCCTGGGGGTAGCCCCACCCCCCACCTGAGGGGCACCCCCACTCCCCACCCTGGGGGTATCCCCCACTCCCCACCTGAGGGCTACCCCCTCACTCCCCATCTGAGGGCTATCCCCTATTCCTCTGGGCTGGGCTACCCCTGCCTGCACTTCTTATCTGTGGAACTACACTCTGGAGCTGAATTAAGACTTTATAAGTCACACTTGCTTCACTGGCACAAACACACATGATAGGAAAACAATCCCTGATAAATTCCTGCTGAAACATGGAGGTGCTTTCGAGCTGTACTGTACATGTACTGTATTCAGGAAGAAAAGCCGAATTTCCCCAGATCCAGGAATACCTTCTGCCCAGAAGGCAATGAGGATGGGCTCTGTGATTCCCGGTCTTCTGCCTTTGTCTTCAGAGCACACCGAGGACAGTCACACTTCCCATCCCTCATAAGAAGCACGCGATTAGCACAGACCTCTAGAGAAAAAAAAACAAAAAAACAAAAAACAACAACCAGCAAACAGATTCTGAAGACTGCAATGTTCTGGGAAGGTGAGAAAATAAAGCTGGAGAAGCCCTCAGTTATACACAAGTTCAAAGCCACCCGGGCCTAACAACGGGCTGATCATGAAGATTGGGCTTTGGTGTCCTGCAGTGTGTCTTTTCTTTCTATTTCCTTGCTTAAACAATGTCTTAGGTGTAGCCCACACTAAGCAATATGAGGGAACGCACGACCACCAGCCACACTGACAATGAATGCCTGTTCCAGAAACACCCAGCGGTCCGGTCATAAAATAACGAGGGTCAAGGGTCCTGCTCAGTGGTGTGTAGTAGAGGGGGCTATACCACAGTCTGAAGGAGTGGTGGGGGAACTGTTGAACAAACAGGAAAACCATTAAAGACACTCCAAAGTTTATAAGCAGGATGTTCCCACCTGGGCAATCTGGCTCTGACAGTAGCGTGGACCTGGCTGATGTTCACTCCTCCCATCTCTGAGGGCTGAAGGCTGGGCAGTGAGCGGGGCCCGTGTCCACCCAGCTGGGAGGCTGAGGGCCCTGCCACATCCCAGGTCTGTGGGAGTAGCTGGAATAGGATCTGCGCACAGCTGACAACTGTCGCCGGCGATGACAGGTCCTTGAGTGTTTGTGATGCCATTCTCTCTACTCATGCGGATGTTTGAAAATGTCCATAATAAAAGTTAAAAGAAAATATTTCTGCTAGACCTGCCCCTGCACACAGCCACTCTCAGCAAGAAGCCAGGCGACTGCCTTGGGTGCAAGAGCTGCTTTCCCTGAAGCCCCCACCCCTCTGCCCTTCCGGGAGGGCCTTGCATCCCCAGGTAGGAGGGGAAGGAAGTGGGGGTGGCAGGTGAAGGGGAGACTGGAGCACCCTGCTGCTTTTCCCTCAGACCTGAGTTCCGCAAGGAAACCTGTTTCTGCCTGGCCTCCCTTAACCCCAGTCTCTTATTCTGGCCAGCTTTGCTCAGGCTAGAAGGAACCCAAAGGCCTGCAGGCCGCCAAGAGCAGCAGGTTCTCCAGGAGCTCCAGGCCAGGGCTGGGCCATCCTCACGGGGGGCGTGGCTTCCTCCCTGCACCCCAGCAGTGATGCCGGCAGGCAGCTTTCCCCTAGCCTCCCGGGACACTCTCAAGTTTAGCCTAGGACAATATCAAATCCAGTGTTAACACTGTGAGTCAAAGCCACTATTTACTGTCAAGAGTCCAGTGTACTAATATCTTGTGACAATAAAAGCTGAGAAAAAAGCAAAGGCTGTACTTCCGAGGGTTGTCTAATACGTGATGTGCTGCAAGTACCATCGAGTGCCGTTGAGCGCCCATGCAGGTTGGATGCGCCAACTGAGGTAGGAAGCAATTTCCTGAACTGGACACATCTGAGAGGAAGAAATATTTAGAAAATGTTTGGGAATAAGCTAGAATAGTCAAGGACTCATATTTCTCTGAAACCAATTAGTCATCAAAGCCACTGTGCTCAAATTATCTGAAAAAAAAAAAAAGTGGACATATCCCTAGAACAGAAAAAATTAAATAAAAAATCATAAAAAGTACACAAAATCGCAAAATTGAACAAAAGGAAAAATAAACTAAATGAGTGAAACTAATCCTGAAATTGGCCTAATTGTCCCACAGCACTGATATTTATAGGTTTTTTTGAAAAAACATGGAAATCGACTCTCCTAGTCTTAAAACTTGAGACTTAACATCCATCTCATCTGAGTTCCTCCCTCGGGAAACCCAGGAAAGGGACCCACCAGATCCCTGCATCCAGCCAGGCCCCTCATTCCTCAGACTGCTTCCTCACCCCTCTCTTAATTTTTGTTTTCTTGCCTTCCCTGCTATATAAACCCCCCCATTTTAGTCAGTTGGGGAAACATATTGAGACTTTATCTCCCTTCTCCTCATCTGCAGCACCTGATAAAGCTTTCTTCCCTGGCAATCCTCGCTGTCTCAGTGATGATTATGCTCTGTACGTAAGCAGCGGCAGCAGGACATCAGGCAAACCCCTGGCATTTAGGTACCAATTCCACATGATCTTAACATAAGAATTGCAAAAAGAGTTGGCGTTGCATTGTTTCAACATTGATGCCAGGCACACACCCACCTCCTGCCCGCCCCCCACACACTTCATTTAAATCTGTCTCTTCAGAAATGTAAAAAATTTTTAAATTTAAATTTTTTTTTTTTTTTTTTTTTTTTTGAGACGGAGTCTAGCTCTGTTGCCCAGGCTGGAGTGCAGTGGCCGGATCTCAGCTCACTGCAAGCCCCGCCTCCTGGGTTCACGCCATTCTCCTGCCTCAGCCTCCCGAGTAGCTGGGACTACAGGCGCCCGCCACCTCGCCCAGCTAATTTTTTTTGTATTTTAGTAGAGACGGGGTTTCACCGTGTTAGCCAGGATGGTCTCGATCTCCTGACCTCGTGATCTGCCCGTCTCGGCCTCCCAAAGTGCTGGGATTACAGGCTTGAGCCACCGCGCCCGGCCAAATTTTAATTTTTAAAATCAGTTTCTCAGGTCTACCAAATGTGTAGCCTAAGTTGAAAACTCGAAAATTCCTTCTACTTAAAGGAATCCTGGCAATTACATTTTAGGCAACACTTTAGACTTTTCATTTTAAAAATTGAAAACAGAGATACTCTCTGTGTTAAGGAGGAGGAGGAAAGCCCCACACCTGTGGCCATGCAGACACCTCCTGTAACCTAAGTATCCCGTTCTGGGCTCTGGGAGGCCCCATTGTAGTCTCAGTCGTTCTCGAAGTGTGGCCCCCAGAGCTCCTCAGCCTCACCCCAGACCTCCTAAAGCAGAAAGTCAGGGGTGGGCCCCAGTGAAGAAGTTCAAAATATACCACCCTGGCATGTGGACTATTTAAGTCAGAGGCACTTACAAAACAGCAGGTTTAAGATCACTCTGACCTTCCTTCTGTTTCTTAAAAGCAGAAAATGAAATTCCCATGTGGAAGATGTCCTCTTTATACCAGGGAAATAAAGCAACATTCTTGTCATGGTGGCCATGCCTCCTTCCCCAAGGCCTTACCGACCCACAGTCCACCTCCAGGAGGGCTACAGCTGCACAGATGAAGACCCCAGCTCTTGTCAGTGCTCACAGACAGCTCACCACCGAAGGAAAGGCAGCAGGCAGCCTGGAGACACCTAAGGGAAAGAAAATAACCAGAGGAAGATTACGTACAATCGTTTAATCACTGCCATCCTGTGACCACTCTTCCTTCCATATCCATATTTCTGCCACAAATGTATTAAGTACATAATTGGCTGCCAAATGAACAAAAAAAACGACTTGCATCTATGGTTTCTTCACTTCATATTTCCCAAACTCAGGGTCTGTTTTGGAAGATTAACTGAAATATAGTTCCCATCTGACTACTAAAACAGCCTCTGAACAGACCCATCTCTCTTCCTGCTGCCTCTAGGGCTTCCTGCCCAGATGCACAGAGCTGACCTTCCAGGGCAAGGCCTGGTGGCCCCCAGGGGTCCTCTTCCTCCTCCTTTCTTCCTGCCTCACTGTCCCCATTCCCACTGCTCACTCGCAGCTCTGAGAGCACATACTTCCAGCCCATGGGGATCTGGCATGCTGCAGAAAGGAAGAGCATGGAACCCATGGCCCTGGGGAGAGACCCCAGCACAGACACACAGGAGGCACTGCATGGCATCCTCCCTGTTCATCTCCACAACAGACTTGAGAGGTTCCGTGCAGTTACTTTTTAAGATGCTGATATCATTTTGATAGTTGTCCCTGTGCAAATCTCATGTTGAATTGTAATCTCCAATGTTAGAGGTGAGGCCTGGTGGGAGGTGTTTGGATCACGGGGGCAGATCTCTCATGGCTTGGTGCTGTCTTTGTGAGTTCTCCGAGATACGGTCATTTAAAAGTGTGTGGCATCTCCTCCCCTCTTCTTGCTCCTGCTGTTGCCATGTGATGCATCTGCTCCCCCTTCACCTTCCACCACGATTGTAAGCTTCCTGAGGCCTCCCCAGTCGCAGATGCCAGCATTATGCTTCCTGTACAGCCTGCAGAACCATGAGCCAATTAAACCTCCTTTCTCAGTCTCGGGTATTTCTTTATAGCAATGCAAGAACAGCAATGCAGATGGGATCATGGAGGCCCAGCAAAACAAGTTATCTTAGCGAAGTTCACACCATCAGTGAGAGGCAGAGCCAACGTTTAAACCTGGTTCTCAGCAAACCCAAAGCTGACGTCAATTCTATGGCACCTTCCTTCAAAGCACTCTACAGGTGTGCCTCTAGAGCACAAGCTGCAGCTGAAGTCAGCCCCAGAGCTCTGCCCCTTGGCATAGCTGGCGACTTTCCCTCCCTAGGCCTTGGCAACTGTCTGCTGCTCTCATGTTTGTCAGCAGAGATCACTGTGGGTTGTCATCTGGTCCCTGGTCCCTCCCTTTCGGGCCTGTGGCTCCTTGGGTCCTGAGGTGTCTGTGTCTGGCACCAATCAACTTGAGAAAGATCAAGCGCAGTGAGTGAAATAGTCCTGATCTAAGGTGCGGGTTTCCCGGGTTCTGATCTTGATTCAGCCAGAAATGGATGGTGTGATTCAGGTTTCTCCTCCATGCCCACTCCCAGCGACAGGGCAATGGGAACCATCGCCAAGTTCCTGGCTCCATGTAGGCTGCTGTGCTAAGGAGAAGGGCAGGCTCTACATCCACTTCTTCTAGACACAGGCAGTCACCTTTCCTCACTGTGTCAGTCTCCTTCACTGTTTAAGAGGAGCGACACACACCTACTTCACGAGGCTGCTGCCAGGACTGTCACTCCGGAAAGGGACGCCCTGTATTAGCTAAATGCTTGGTAACCAGCTGCTAAGGGTGTTCGCCTTGTTCTTAGATGCTGTGTTCCACCTTTCCCCTGAAAAATGCATTCAGCTCTTCAGAATTCTCTTTTTTACCCATTTTGGATGTCTATAAAGTCTATAGGATATCTACTTTATCTTAAACAAGGTTTCTACAAAGATAAAACTGGACAGTTTCACCCAATTTTTACAAGTCTGGTTCTTGATGCCCAAGAAGCCGCCACCAGAGGGCAGACGAGGACACTATTTATAGTTGAGGAAAGTTTGCAGGGAGGTGCAAAGCTGTATTTTGAAGATGAAGATGGTTGCTAGGTCAAAGGCCTCAAACTGTTGAATAATTCCAAGGATTTCCTTGTCTACTCTCAACTATGCTTGTCTTCCAAAGGCCAGAGAAATGAGAAAATAAAAAATAATAATAATAGAAAAGGGGACAGCTTTGGAATCATACAGACCAGACCAGATCAGACTTAGAGGATTTCTGCAATGATCTGGTGGGCAAATAAAATTGAGGAAAGGACCAACCTAACCTCTGTCCACCGTGTGTGCCTCACAGCCGATGGCTGTGAGACTGCCCGCCACTCTGGGCCCACACAAGGTTAGATAGCCCTGGCACCCACCAGGTTCTGAGACCCTCCCAGACGCCCCCACAACGGGATCACTTCCAAGTGCTACCCACAGAAAACACCAGCCCTGGTTCCTGGGACACAGTTGGCCCTTGAGAAGTAACTTTCTTCTCAGAAGGTGAAAAGCACATCCCCAACAGCGGTGTCCTCCACTCACAGAGGCGCCAAGGATAGCGCTGCAAAGCTAATATTCCTTGAGATTTCAGAAATCTTTTCAAATAAAAAAATGGAAGGGGGAGATAATTTAAATACAAGGGAGGCTGTTTTTCCTGGTGTTGGGAGGAGGCAGGCCCCCAGGCCCTGGCACAGAATCAGCACCATTTTCACAGAGGCACCTGGCTTCCTCTTAGTTAACTGTGGCCATTGGGGAATGGGATGATACTGATGGCTCAAACACAGTCTGTGATGCCTCAAGGGAACTAGTTGAGTCATTTGTTTGAATTACATGACAGATCTCTTATAATTCCTTAAGAGCGAGTCTTTTCCGGGGCTTGTTGGGGGTTGGGGGTAAGGGGAGGGAGAGCATTAGGATAAATACCTAATGCATGCAGGGCTTAAAACTTAGATAACAGGTTGATAGGTGCAGCAAACCACCATGGAACATGTATACCTATGTCACAAACCTGTACATTCTGCGCATGTATCCCAGAACTTAAAGTAAAAATAAAATAAAATAAAATAAAGTTTAAAAAAAAGTGAGTGTTTTTGAGCAGTTGGAAGATGAGAGCATTGGAGCTGAACTCTTATCTTGAACCATTTCACCCGCTCTGGCCAGGCACTCCTGGTTATAAAGGCAGGGGCAGGGAGGGCTGGAGCAGGCTCTGGGGCTAGTCCACCTCAGCACATAAGGGGCAGACACTTCCTCATCAACAAGTCGGGATGAAGAAGGATGTTTTGCTGACCAATATCAACAAATAAAATATTGGCAAGCTGGAAGCTGCAGAGACCTCATATTCAAACCAATTTAAAGTGAACTAGGCAGGGAAGCAGAAAAATGATGGTCTTTCTTGGCGTTCAACGCTGGGCTCTTACATCAGGC